GATCAATGCAAAGAAATAGAGGAAAACAATAGAAAGGGAAAGACTAGAGATCTCTTAAAGAAAATTAGAGATACCAAGGGAACATTTCATGCAAAGATGGGCACAATAAAGGACAGAAATGATATAGACCTAACAGAAGCAGAAGATATTAAGAAGAGGTGGCAAGAACACATAGAAGAACTATACAAAAAAGATCTTCACAACCCAAATAACCATGATGGTGTGATCACTGGACTAGAGCCAGACATCTGAATGCAAAATCAACTGGGCCTTAGGAAGCATCACTATGAACAAAGCTAGTAGAGATGATGGAATTCCAGTTGAGCAACTGAACTGAACTGAACTGAATGTTCAAATGTTGTTTTTCAGTGTTGACAAATATTTGCAACTATTCTATACATCTAAAATTATTCCAAATTAAAATTTTGTATAAAAAACTTGACATAGATCAATGAGGTACTGTGTGGCAATCCAGAAGTGTGGGATGGGGTTGGGGGCATTCAAGAGAGAGAGGACACATGTATACCAATGGTTAAGTCATGTTGTTCTATCTCAGAAGTTAACACAATATTGTAAACTAATTCTATTCCAACTAAAAATATACTAAAAGAAAAACAACCCACATAAGGAAAGGGCTACATCTCCTGCATTCCACCAATGACCTTGCCCAGCTCTTCTCCCTGATGTCACCAAATGTCCCCGCGATTTGGGGACATTTCAGAGGAACCAGTGGCACCCTTGGAAGTGCACTGGTACTCAGCACTCCAAGCCCTGGCTCCTCTCCTCACAGAGCTGCAGAGGGCATTGCGGGCAGCATCTTCAGAAGAACAGGAGACATGGGATCCATGGGAAGCGGTCCCACCACTTAGAGGTCCTGCTCCCACAGACAAAGAGCCAGCATGTATAGCCTGGGCAATGTGGTGTTCACCTTACTCCCCAGGAACCTCTGAGGCACATCTGAAGCCACCTGAGGCCTCATGGGGTGACCTTCAGAGAGGTGGCCCCCAGGCAGCAGGAGCCACGGCGAGGAGCAGCTCCACTAGGCCAGTTCTCTCTACAGCTCAGTACTTGGTGCCTCTTTGCCAAGAGCAGTTACCGGATATGAATCCTATTTGGCACAGAGTTCTATGATCACACCTTGGGTTCCAACTCAGGTCTGGCCTTCAGCAAACCTTAATATGCCACAGGTGACTCAGAGAAAGGCCAGCCAGGTTCCTCTAGCAAAATCTCTTTGCTTCTGAATTATCCAATATTTTAAACCTTTACCTTATTCAGTTAATTCCAGGCAATATTCATAAGGACATATATAGCAAATAGAAGTTAAAATATTCTTGTTTATCAACTCCAGGGAAATGGAATATTCCTGCCATTATTCTAACAAACACTGTGCAACATCTACCGAATGCTGGGCCCTCTCCTAGTCCTGGGATGCAGCAGCACACAGCACAGCTCTCGCCCTCCTGCAGCTCTTCATCACCTAAGAGGGAGTGAAAGACAGTGACCCCACGGGAAGAAGTGCTCTGGGTGAAGATGAAGGAAGGGGAGAAGACAGAGGGCCATGGGGGGAGGATGGAGGCAGCATGGTTTGAAATAAGGGCTCAAGATATGGGGAAATCTGTGTCCTGTGATACTTGAAGACTCCTGAGGATGAGGGAATGAATCATGCAGCCACTGGAGGAGGGCACCACACAGAGAGGCCCTGCAGCATAAGCAAACTCGATCTAGTCCAAAAGCAGACAGGAGGCACTGAGGAAGGAGAGAAAGGCAGGGATAAGTCCACAGAGGCAGCAGCAGTGCGGGGCTGGTTGTGCAACTGGCCCAGAGGTTGCGGTTAGAAAGGGCTTGGCTTTTCCTCTGGAGAGGTGATGTTGGGAACAGAACAGAGACACTCAAGAGTAGAAAGATACTGCAGAAAATGGATGGACATAGAGATTGTCATACTGAGTGAAGTAAGTCAGACAGAGAAGCGGAAATACCTCATGACATCTGTTATAAAGGGAATAGGAAAAGACATGATACAAAGGAGTTAATTTACAAAACAGAAACAAACTCACAGACTTAAGAGAATGAAACTTTCCTTGCCTGGGTTGGATAGGGGGCAAGGATAGTCAGGCAGTTTCAGATGGACAGATGCACACTGTTAAATTTAAAACAGATTATCAGCAAGGACCAACTGTATAGCACAAGAAACTCTACTCAATGTTATGTGGCAGCCTAGGTGGGAGGGGAATTTTGGAAAGAATGGATGCATGTATATATGTGTGTGTATATATATATATATTTACGGCTAAGTGCCTTTGTTGTTGACCTGAAACTATCATAACATTGTTAATTGGTTATACTCCAATACAAAAGAAAAAAATTAAAAGGAAAAAGAAAGAGGGACTTCCCTGGTGGTCCAGGGGTTAAGAATCCACCTTGCAACACAAGGGACATGGGTTCAATCCCTGGTCAGGAAACTAAGATCCCACATGCAGCAGAGCAACACAGCCTGCAGGTCATAACTACTGAGCCCACGCTCCACAACTAGAGAATCCATGCACCACAACAAAAGACCTCACATGATGAAAGATCTTATGTGACACAACTAAGACTCAACACAGCCAAATAATAAACAAATAAATATTTTTTTAATATTTTATTAGTTGGAGGCCAATTACTTTACAATATTGTAGTGGTTTTTGTCATACATTGACATGAATCAGCCATGGATATACATGTATTTCCCATCCCGATCCCCCCTCCCACCTCCCTCTCCACCCGATCCCTCTGGGTCTTCCCAGTGCACCAGGCCCGAGCACTAGTCTCATGCACCCAACCTGGGCTGGTGATCTGTTTCACCCTAGATAATATACATGTTTCAACGCTGTTCTCTTGAAACATCCCACCCTCGCCTTCTCCCACAGAGCCCAAAAGTCTGTTCTATACATCTGTGTCTCTTTTTCTGTTTTGCATATAGGGTTATCATTACCATCTTTCTAACTTCCATATATATGTGTTAGTATACTGTAAAAAAATATGGAACGCTTCACGAATTTGTGTGTCATCCTTGCACAGGGGCCATGCTAATCTTCTCTGTATCGTTCCAATTTTAGTACATGTGCTGCCGAAGCGAGCACAATAAACAAATAAATATTTTAAAAAGAGATTGCAGAAAATATTTCTGTAGAATGAGGTGCTATCAAAGTCACCAGTTGGCAGTTCTTGATCAAGAAAAAAACAGAAATTTATGGGCCAGCAACAGATGACATTTCAGGGCTCCAGACAGGGATTGCTGGAAGTGGCCCAACAAAGGCCATTGACCAAGATCAAGGACACAATGATAACAGCAGGGCAGGAGCCACCAGAGACCCTGACCAGGGGCTCAGGGCTTGTGTTTTGCCCTGCCTGGAACTTATTCCCTGTGAGACCATTCACTAAGCACTGAGCTTCCTGAAGACCCATTAAGTCCACACCAGCCGGTCTTCAAGGTCACAGTTGTTCTGACAGCCTGTCACAGGCCAGCATTCAGGAGGCCTGATCTGGGAGCACTTTTGCCCTTTTTGGTCAACCTGGGGATTTTCAGCTGTTAAGCTTCCTGAGTCAGCTGCCCCTCCCACAGCCCTACAGGGGGAGGAGGCTGAGCCAGTGCCCTCTGTGGACTCAAGGACTAGCATCTTGCCAACACACATAGCTCCTCCTGTGCAGTCCTGGGCAACATCACACTGTGGCCTGGCAGAATCCCCTGAAAAAAGGAAGCATCTGACACAGGCCCCCTGAGGGTGAGGACAAGCAGAGGTATAAAAGGGCTCCAGGTGAGTAGGGAGCATCTGCCACCGGCACCATGACTCGGGCTGGAGCTCTCCTGCTGCTCTGAGCTGCCTTGCTTCTCATCGCGGGCGGAAGTGAGTGGCTGGGACCTGGGCTCCCGAAGTTTTCCGGCACCTTCCCAGGGCAGCACTGAGCATGTCGGGAGAGGGAAGGGAACGGTGTGTTCTAATGAGTATCTTTCAGGGAGTTTCCCCTTATCTTTCTGTTTCAGAGTGTGATGACATCTGTCAGGCCTTGAGGGATAGCATCAACCTGTCCATATTGGGAAGCCATGACACTTATATCGAACAAGTTGAAAAGTATAACAAAACCTCTGATGTACTGGAGACTGCCGATACCCTGAAGAGCTGTGCTGATAAGAGTTTGACAGCCAAGGATAAGCAGGATGCTCTCAGTGCTCTGGTGGGTCAGGCTATCTGTGAATGTGGCTGTGGGGTCTGTGTGGGGGTGAGGGTGTCAGGGGCCTGCTCAGGGCACTGGGAAGTGGGGGGATCATATCCTCTCCACCCTGGCCCTTCCCCAGGAACCTGGGTGCAAAAAGATCCTCATGAACGAGGAGGTAGAGAGGATGTGGCCAACACCCACAGTGTGAGAAAGGATCCTGCAGGAAAACTTAGTCCAGCCCTGGGGCTCTTGAGCTGGCCCTGACTGCTCAGCTCTGCCTAGTCACAGTCCTGGGACCCTCCAGGCCCTCCTGACTCTGTGGTGCCACCTGCTTGGGAGTTAGGCCTTCAGCACTGGTCTCCCTGACTCCAGCCTCTCCAACACATGAACCTGAATCTGCTGCAATCCATTAGCATTGAGTCCTTCCCTCCTCCAAACATCAGTTGTTTCCCTTACTGCCTGAAACCCTTCTCTATCCCACCTAAACCCCGCATTTCTCCTTGTTCCCTGGACCCCAATGGGACATTTATGCCCCACATGCCCTAAGAGGAAGCTGCTTCCAAAAGTTGCCCTCCTGTCCTCCCCAGGCCTGGGATGCCCAGAGTTGAGGGTCAGGGTCAATCCTCTAGAAATAGACAGCAGCCCCAGCTCACCACAAAGAGAGAAATCCCATGGTCTGTAATAAAGACCCAGTACAGTTAAAAAAAAAAAAAAGAGTATCAACAACCATCAAAATTAGGATCTTTAAAAAATCAAAACAGTTGAGAAACCTGTATCACTTTTCAAGAAAAGAAATAAGACACAAATTACCATAATAAAGTAAAGAGAGATGTCTTTATTGGTTCCACATACATATAAGGAGAAAATATTATGAACAAATTATGCCAATTAATTTGATGGCTTAGATGAAATGGACAACTTTATTAAAGATAAAAATTATAAAAAGTGACTCAATGCAAAAGGAAAGATAAATTTTAACTAAACTATCACAAATAAAAAGTTCTAGGCCCATAGATTTATAGTGGTGAATGTCATAAAACATTAAAGAAATAAAAACAATCCTCTATAAATGCTTTAAAAAATGAATGACAAACAAACCTTCCTAACTCATCTGTTTAGGCCAATATTATCCTCATCATATTTTCAGGAAAATGATATTACAAGAAAAGTAGAAACTCATACCCTTTGTAAAAATATAATCAAAAAATTAACACAACATTAGGAATTCAAATCCAGCAACATATAAAAGAAGTGGCACATAAAGACAGGGTATTATTTATCCAGGGAATACATGATTCATTTAGCATTCAAAGTCAATCAAGGTAATCCACCATATTAACAGAATAAGGGAAAAGGGTCTTATGATCATCTCAATTGAAGCTGAAAATATGTTTGACATAGTCAAAACATTCATAATAAAACATATCCATAAACTAAGATAAAAAGAAAGTTCTTCAACATTATAAGTTGCACCTAAAAAATCACCTACAACTGACAATAATGCAGGGGACACAGGTGGGATCCCTGGTCCAGGAGGACTCCACATGCCATGGACAACTAAGCTCATATGCCACAGCTACTGATCCCAAACTCCAGAGCCCACAAGCCACAACTAATGAGCCCTTGCACTACAACTACGGAAGCCCACACACCCTACAATTGACATAAAAATTAATGGTGAAATATTGAGTGCCTTCCCCCTAAAATTGAGACAAAAGCTAAGATGCCCACTTTCATGAATTTTTCTGGAACTGGCAGCACTGACCAATGAAGCAAAAGAATAAAAAAGAAACACACACTGAAAAGGTGGAGGTAAAAGTGTACAAAAAACATCAAAACATGCAGAAAAGAAACTGATGGGCAGATGAATGGATAAGGAACTTGTGGTACATATACAAAATGGAATATTACTCAGCTATAAAAAGGAACACATTTGAATCAGTTCTAATGAGACGGATAAACCTGAAGCCTATTATACAGAGTGAAGTAAGTCAGAAAGAGAAAGACAAATACTGTATATTAATTCATATATATGGAATTTAGAAAGATGGTACCAACAATCCTACATGCAGGGCAGCAAAGGAGACACAAACACAAAGAACAGACTTTTGGACCCAGTGGGAGAAGGGGAGAGAACAGCATTGAAATATACACATTACCATATGTAAAACAGATGACCACTGCGAGTCTGATGCATGAAGCAAGGCACACAAAGCTGGTGCTCCGGGACAACCTAGAGAGATAGGATGGGGAGGGGGGAGGGAAAGGGGTTCAAGATTGGGGGGACACATGTATACCTATGGCTGATTCATGTTGATGTATGGCAAAAAAATTACACTATTATAAAGTAATTATCCTCCAGTTAAAATAAATATATTAATTAAAAAATCAACATCATTAAGGCTTTCAGTACAACAGTAATAAAAGAAAACTTCCTCAATCTAATAAAAGGCATCAAAAATAACAAGGAAGACTTCAGCTAACATGGCATTTAATGAACAAAGACCAAATTTTTCCCCCAAGATTAAAAATAAGCAAAGATACTAATGCATATATATGGAATTTAGAAAGATAGTAATGATAACCCTATATGCAAGACAGAAAAAGAGACACAGATGTATAGAATAGTCTTTTGGACTCTGTGGGAGAAGGCGAGGGTGGGATGATTTAAGAGAATAGCATTGAAACATGTATATTATCATATGTGAAACAGATAGCCAGTCCAGGTTCAAAGCACGAGACAGGGTGCTCGGGGCTGGTGCACTGGGATGACCCAGAGGGATGATATAGGGAGGGAGGTGGCAGGGGGAGGGGGGTTCAGGATGGGGAACACATGTACACCCGTGGCAGACTCATGTCAATGTATGGCAAAACCACTACAATATTGTAAAGTAATTAGCCTCCAAGTAAAATAAATAAATTTATATTTAAAAAAAGAATAAGCAAAGAGGCCTATTTTTCTATTTCTGTTCAACATTGGACTGGAAACTCTCACAACTGAAAAACAGCAAGAAAAAATGAAAACAAAGGACAGTTGGAAGGGAAGAAATCAAACTCTCTTCATTCACAGAAAATAATAAATATACAGAGCAAATTATAACAAATTAGGAGAAAATCCTAAAGAATCTACAAAAACATCATTATCCATATAAGTGATTTGAACATATTGCAAAATACAAGCTAAGTGTACAAGCAAATACAAAACATCAAAATACAAGCAAAAAAAAATTAAGCATATTTGGAGAACAAGATGGCGGAGGAGTAGGTGGATGTGGACTACATCTCTCTTCACAGATACATCAGGAATACACCTTCAGACACAGAAGTGCTTGCAGATGCACCAGCTGAGAGCACAGGAGTACCTAAACCACAGGGAAAGAATACACAGAACCACACAAAACTTGGTAGGACGAAGGAACTAGAGGGAAAATTTCTTTGGGAGATACATACGAGCTTGGGTGAGCAGCCACAGGTAGCTAGAAGCCTCCTCAGGAGCCTCAGGCACCAAAACACCACAAGGGAAATTCTGGCTTGTAGGCACTGAGACCATGTCAGTGGAAATGGAGCTCTGAGCCAGAGCAATGGCATCAAAGTGTGATAAAAAGGAGATGATGTGAGCACAGGCCTTAAGGGAGTCCCTTCCTGAGAAGAGATTCTAAAAACAGGGGCTTTTTTCCATATTCCTTAAATAGAACTGATGTGACTCCTAGAGGTGTGGGAGCTAAGAAATGCTGCCTTTCCTGCCAAAGATTAAAATTCTACTCCTCCAATGCTAGCTCCTCTCACTAAAAAAACAATCACATAGGTCAACACACTTGGCCTACTGCACTGATGCCAGTCCCCTATTGTGTGCAAGCTGATTGGCATGATACGGGCAGACTGTGCTTGAAAATTACAGGTGCTGTAGGCTGGAGCAAAGGTTTATGTGCTTCTTTGTTTATAGCTCTTGTCTGTCACATATCCCATGACTGCATAATCTATTCCCATGTGGCATACTGCACTATGCATGTGAGTGGGCAAGGCGGAGTGAGGGTCAGGGAAGTAATAATTACCAAGAATTTCAGAACCAAAAACTTGAAAATAAGTCCTGCCTCACTGTAGCAATCCTGGATTTTTCCTATGGCAGCTTTTACTGAATCAGTAGCACTGATCATATCCAGGAATAGGCCCAACAGTGTCCTGTTTCCAAAGGACATTGTGCTAAATAAACACTCCATAAAACACAGGGCAGGCTTCCGCTATAGGCAGAGACAGAAAACACCTTGTCAAAAGAATCACCAGGTCAGAAGGTTCCTGTTTCCCACCACTTGATAGGAACTCACACATCCAAAGCTTCCAGACTCACCTCCCACAGAGTCCCACCCTCTCCCAGGACTGCTTACAGAAATCCTTCCCTATGAGGCACTCCCAGTAGGGAGAGTAGCAAGGGTGAGGCCCAGAGACCCCTCTACCCTTGACTACCATCCCCAGGCATATCAGCCTGCTTCCTCCCTTCCAAAGAGCACACTACACCCAACAAACTATCCCTCAAGGTGTGCACAGCTAATGACCCTTCCAGTGGGTCATACCACCCACTCCATTCAAAGATTGAAAGCCTCAGGAGTTTCTACAGGACTCCTGGGCACTGATCTGCCACCTGCCCTCTGAATCTGCCACTCAAAGCGGCTTGGACAGGACTGGGAAGGATGCAGTGAGACAGCATGGGGCAAGGATCAGGAGGGCCAGTTGGACCCTCCTTCCTACCCTCATGCATCTTGAAGGTGAGCTCTCTAGTTACCATCAAGGCCAGCACAAGCAGTGCTCCCTTCATGGAGGCAGCAGATTGAGTGCTCTGCTCAGGGCAGCGTTTCTGCTACTTCATAAACCACTAGCTCCCTGGCCCCAGCCCACATCCCCTCCCAGGAGCTCCACAGACCTGTCTGTAGCCATGCACCTGGCACAGGTAGTTCTCTCAGCCCTTTGTGTGTTTACTGTGGGAAGCCCTTCCTACTCTGAGAGCAGAGCTCCTGGAGAACTTGTGGCAGTATCTTTTCCAAAGACCAAGTGGAGTTGACACTTCTAAGTGACTCCATTTGGAGCCAAGTGCTCTGTTGTCCCAGCCACAACCATCACCTGTTTCCCTGGTCATCCTTCCCCCAACCTATCCTGGCTCCAAGGTCAGCACTCTCCCAGACTGAGCAGATGGAATCACAGATGGAATCACAGGTCTACACCACTACCAGGAAGAAAAATGTCATCCAGAATCCTTCCTTTTCCCCAAAGTTTAAGTCCTGGAGATAAGAATGCAGTGCTGGGCATTCCTGTAGCCCCCAAATATCTTAACATCTGCAGTCTCCAGACTGGGCCCCAGGCACTAGTGGACAGCAGCCTTGGACTCCAAATAATTCCAACCTAGGAACTCTCAGGACTTGAGGCCATGTGGATTTTCTCAGGTGCTGCTAATTCTGTAACATCGGATCACACCACCAGCTTTTCTCAAACCCTTAAGGGGGCAAGTTCCTGGTACATTCTTGATGCCCAGTGTCTCCAGTCTTGGTATTTTTCTTGGTTGTCCAACCCTCTTCCATCAGTGAACCTAGTCTCAAGAAGTCTGTCCAGGAACTCAGAGAGAAGCTGTGAGGTTGTGGAGTTGGTCTGTGTCAGAGACTCTGAGGTCCACAGCCCTAGAGGACACCGGAGACAGGAGGTCCAAGGCCCAGAGGGCTGGGTCCACCAGAGGTGCCACTCTGTGTGTGAAAACTCTCTCAAGAGACAAAGTCAACCTTCCACACAGGAAAACAGTGTGTTGGCACAAACAAGATAAGATGGACCTTGAAAACTCTAGGAGGAAGTTTAAGAAAGCTCCCAATTGCCAAAATTGGAAACAGTTTGAAGACAAAATAAACAACAGAGAATTAGATGATAACCCAAAGTATAAAGTAATATGTATGAGTCCATACTCGTAT